AGTCTATTTACACTAGTTATCATAAGTTACTGGGTTTGGCCCAGTACACAAATTTTCTCCTTGATTTTCTTCATGAAAAACTTGGTCATGTACCCAAAATTGAAATAGTGCTGAAGTAACGTAATATGTGAGCATCGCTTAGAAAAAACTCTTCGTACAATTCATGTAGCAATCAGGATTTAAATTGCTCGAAAAATAAGAAGGCTTCATTAAGGGAAAAAAGGATTATCTAAAATAAATATTCACCCTAGAAAATCACGTTGGAAAACAACTGGCCTCGCGTGAGGGCAATCGTATAAAAAGTTCGGTGACCCGTTGCGATAGAATACAAAGTGTCCAACCTGTACCGAAAACATAACAAGTTGAGCGATTTCGTGGACTCTCGCAGGCATGCAAGCCAAACGTATTTTTTCCTCTATCGGCTTTTTTTTATCAACGCAACGTATAAAGCTCGCGGTTATTTCAATGTCGTATGATGTATTGTATTGAGCCATCGGTGTCGAGCCCACTTAGATTGCTTTTAGTTATTATTATTACTGGAAGACAAATATATTTAATCTGATCGCGCGGCACGTTGTTGCTTATCGCACGTGTCGAGCTGAAGGGTCAAGAGGGTTGCTCAATCGTATAAGTCAGGTATTATTATCAACATTAGATATTCATCTACGGTTCGTGTGTGAAAGCCTTTTTTTTTTTTTTTTTTTTTTATAATAATTATTTACGCGTGCAAAACATATCATACGCCCTTTCGTTTTTGGCGAGAAACAGCAATGATTGTCTACGACTTTTTCGTTAAGAACAACGTGCAAAAATAAAAAAAATAATTGCATCGGTCATTCATAGTATTTTTTTGTTTGAAAATAGAAATCTTTTTTACAAATGTGCACTATAAAACCATTTTTTTTTTTTTAGTATAACCGAAAAAAACCTTTTTATAGGTGTATCGACGATTATGTTTGTAAAGAGTAAACGTGCATCAACACGATGAAAAAAATTCTCAAACTGGCTACTCGTAACCATTGAATGATGTTGAGTCATTTACTGTATTAACCACGTAGAAATCAACTTTCACGGAAAAATATTCTTAAAGAGCGTTTTCAGTAACATTTCGTTTTATGTATAACTCTACGTTGTCATTTGTATAAACTAAAAAGTATTAATTATCAAAATTAAATATTTTTGAAAATTCAACATCTCTTGGGAAAAGAAGACACTTTGGTAACCATTGAAACATGTACGTGTTAAAAGTGNCCTTTTTTTTTTTTTTTTTGTATATAAAATTGATTTTTATCCATTGGCAATATATACTTGTACGTAATAGGTACTGCAAGTGTATATCATCTCAATAAATAGCACGGATCTTCGATGATTGCATAAATACTTATGTTTTTCATGATTAGTTGTGTCAGAAATAAGCAATGCCGCAATGCATGACAAAATCTACAGTAGCTTTGGAAGATAAAGCTCACGATAAGATCTAAATTGACTGACAGATTTATCTCCCGGTGTTGCCGGTCGAAGAAAAGCAGCGATAATCCCATTTAGGCTATTGTTGTTGTTATTGCCTCTTCGTCTCTGCCAATGCTGCCAATTGGGTGTATATCTTGTACGTGTACATGTATATTTTCAAGAACTTACATACGAGTAAAATACACGCTTTTTATTATCACTGACGTCAATTAATGGAGTATCGCAACTCTCTGATGCTCCCGGCTGTTGTAACTAAGACCATCATTCGGTTTTTTGTTTGGTATTATTGAGCATTTTGTTATTCATCAAGCGGAAGATGACGCCTTGTTCTTTACAGATTCGAAAAATCATTCCGCTTTCCTATAGCCTCTGACTTATTTTTATTTTTTAACTCGAGATTGTGCATGCAACTTGTTTAAGTGCGATTCGGTACACTCGAATGGTTGGTTAATTTTATGATTGGACCTTGTTTCCATATTAGATGAAATCTCACTATATCCGTTCCAAAATTTTTTTACACTGATCACTTTTTTACGTCTTGGCACTTTTATCGTTATCATTGTAGTCAGATCCCAATTCTTTAGATTAAAAACAATAACTCTAGTAAATTAGTATCGTCGTACGTTATCATAAGCCCCTTTACATTTCGTTGTTGTGAAAAAAAATTTCTTTTAGAATTTGATACTAAAAACGTACCCTCTGAGTTATACCTCTCCAATCAAATCCAGAGTAAGCACATTTTCGAAATAAAATTCAGGTTTAATATCATATTATTCTCGACTGATAATCTAACTCGGAATGTGATTTTTTCCTGGTAAAAGTAAAAAAAATTATCACGTCAACGACTTTTTGAATTGTAACAAATAAGAAATCATTTTTATCCTCAGAGTAACGTAACAGTTCAGAAAAGCTTTACGCACTTACGATACTTTTCCTCTATGGTAAATAGAAAAAGCGTCACTAACACTGCAGAGTTTGAGGAAATAAGTCGCAATTTTTTGCAATAGATCTTTCTTTCATAAAGCTGTTTTATTTCCTGGTGGAGCGACAACCGCAGTTCAATCATTAAATTACACAACTAGTAGTATCAAACGACGTGTTTTTATTTGTACGAAAAATAAGTGATTTAATGAGTATACTATCGAAAAGTATTCAATTTTACTGTCCAATTTCTTATCAACACACAAGTTTGTTATTTATGGTATGGCAGGTATAGAAATGACGGATATATGAAATAACTTGGTGCAGGAAAAAGAAAACTGTAAATTAATACGTTTAGAGTTTGTCATACCATATTATATCAGGTGAACGCATTATAGGAAACAATAATGTGATGGAGGTTAAGTTAATTATGCCAGAGAGTAAACGGATTAAAAAAACTGAAGATGGACATATTGTTTTCAAATGAAATAATAAATGCATGTGTTTGAACAATTACATTTGACGATAGAATGGAGGCCTTTCGTCGAAATAATATTTTCGCATTCAAAAATATTTATGCAATACTCCAACCATAAATTCAATTGCGCGTTTCAAATATTTCGAAAATAATGATATTACTTTTTCTCTATGATTCAGGGTTACAGTGACATTATGTAAAGTATAATAAATGTCGAAATAGGTAGAGCAAATCAAATGGCTCGATTTCAAATGATAAATATTTGCAAAGTTCTTAGTTTATTCGTATTTCTTCATTACACGGAAAGTTATCTTTCCTAAAAATATTTATCACCATATCTTTTTGATAAGAAGTTTGGTGTGTCTTGACCCTTATGTACCTATACTCTATATCAATATATTTATCTGCAGCCGTCCAATTAGAAAGATAATTTTTTTTTGTCCCTTACTTTTATCATAACTGAATGTTGTGCTACTATAACAAATGGCTTCTTTTTTCTTGAAACAATTAATTACCTTCGAAAATGATGTGTAAACTAAGAAGTCAACTCTAACTGTGCCCTTTGAAACTATAGTTCACTTTATTACATATACTCCTAGCTATCCCATTACATTGAGGGAGCTTTACTGACGTAATGCTGATAAAATAATGTTCGACAGATTGTAAGCAAAATCTTACAAAATAAAAATGAAACAACTTTATTTTCTTTGTTGGCACAATGATAAGGTATAAATACCTTGTGTACTTTAAACATCTGATATTACATAAATTTTAATTACGAGGATCATCTTTTAATGTTCAAAAACCTTTTTGATTAAGACACTGTATTCAGTAAATATAAAAGCTGTTTGAACAGACAAATCGATATGTATCAATATAGTACAATACGATGTATGGAATGAAAAAAAATTAAAATGACCACGAAATAAAAAGATCAATCGATACGCCGAGTCAGGGCCTAACACTGACTCGTTAGCGTAAATGAGAATCATCTAGATGGATTACATGGCACAACCTCTTGTATTATAAGGTCATGGCTGAGTTTTAGGGGCGGGACTCGGCGATTTTAATGATGTAAGCGCACTTCGCAGTTTCATACGCAACTCGTACTTAAGCGTAAGCTAAACGAGTGGCTGATGAAATTTTTACTCATTCCGAACGACATTCGATTTCCGCTCAAGAGGCATGCGCATACTAGCACTCTGATACAAACACGATACGTACCGCGTGTATACGTAATATGCATGCAGGCGAATGTCAACTCTCGTATCTCTATGGTCAATATTTTGCTCAGCGCGTGGCTCACCTGTTCCGGGAATGGTGGTGGGAGGTACATCTTGGAGTATCTACGTCTCGGGGAAATTTTTATTTATCTACACGTAAAGTCTGATGAAATTTCTGGAATCCGTGTATGAGGAGCTTGCGAGTGGCACGTGTGATAAAAATTAATTTTTGGAGATACGAGGAGTTACAATTTCCCAAAGTCAGATCGAATGCAATGGGGTCAAGGATCTCCGTGGGTTGTTAGTTATGGGTTTTTTACCGTTCCATGAACTGCAGTGGATAACAATTAAAAAATTTTAGTTCAGAAAACTTTAGTTTAACCAATACATACAATATTATTGATGAGGAAAAATACGATACAGACAACAAGAAATGACGTTTGTGAATTTTCTTGTGTACTAACATATTATAATGATGTCGTCAAAATACGCGATGCTTTGGCTTTTTCGGATAATCGTGATGGTGGGAAATTAAAAAACTACCCATAATTATCCTAATATACATTTACTATAACATATTAAAGGTCATAATTATGTACTCCGTCAGCTGTCATAGGTAAAATTTTAATCAAGTAACGTTTATATTCAATATCATATGAAAGTTACATTACTTTTTCAATTACAGTAGCAAGGTAACAAAAAAAAATATATATATGTATTTTTTTTAACTACAATTTAAATAACAATCACTATCTGGAAGTAGAATAGTGGGGAGGGGAGGTTCGTACGCGCTTGCAAAAAGTAAAGAGAGAGCAGCCTTTTTACGTTTCAGATGTGTTAATGCAACACGTAATGTAATCGTATAAAAGCCGGCACGAAGTCAGAGGCAAGATCAGTACAGACCCAAATGCGTCAGTGTTAAGTGTCTCAAAGCATTTCTCTGTCTTCGATTCTGTCCGGTTTTTCGACTATCGGATTTCGCAGAGTTTTCTCCTGTCTTGCAGTGAATCTTTGTTGCATTTTCCTTTTTGATTACTTATCTACGATTTCTGGAGATACCCATATCCAGCCATGTACAAGTACAATAGAACTAAGAAGACCAAGATCGACTATGCCCAGTTTAGAACGGAGGTTTCCAAACGAAGAAGATCAGCCGCCACGCGGGAACTAAGTAAGTTGAGGCAGCAATTATAAAATTCGTAACAGATTCAAGTGGAGTAACAGCAATGAACACAATTTTTCAATCACAATCACTCTGTCATATTGAAACTACCACTTTAGCTGAAGTACAAATATTTTTGTATAAATTATACACATTCGAGTAATCGGAAAATTTCAATTTTTCAAACACAACACACATGAAGTTGAACAAAGGATCATTTTCATAAATGAAATTTCAGCGAAAATAGCCTACTCGGCCCCGCACAGTATTATCTCCCTGGCGGAGGGTATGCCGAACGAAGAAACCTTCCCGTTCAGCGAGATCTCGATAAAGCTGGTCGACGGCTCCGACTTCGTCTTGGAAGGCGAGGACCTGGCTGCCTCGCTCCAGTACATCCCAAGTCAGGGTTACCCACCTCTGCTGCAGGTAAGCTTTTTTTTTTTATCCCCCAGCTTGCGTGGAATAAAATTATTTCGTTGAAACGCTTCCGCACGATTGGCTCTGATTTTATCGAATAAGGAGCAGAAGGAAAAAAAACAAATTAGATCCGAGTGGGATATTTTGTTTCAGTTCTCGTAAAGAGATTTGTTCGAAAAAAAAAAAAAAAAACTTAAATAACGGAGTCCTTTGATCGTAGGCTATACGAGAGTTTCAAAGGAAAGCCCATTCGCCGCCTATGTGGGAGAACCGCGAAGTGGTTATTGTCGCGGGTGGCCAGGACGGGCTGAGCAAGGCTCTAGAGGCCATCATCGGGCCCAGCGATCCCATCCTGGTGCAGAATCCATTCTATCCTGGTGCCAGCGTTGTCGTGAGTTGATCTCTTTTTTTTTTTTTTTGAATAGTTGTGGTTTCCATCATTTGAAAAAAAATTTAATTTTTAATAATACATTGTTTGCAAGTCTTTATATTAAAGTATATGACAAATTGTATGCAACACCACCCACCTCCGAAAGGGTTTTCAAGTTACCGGGTTGAATAGTAAAAAAAAAAAGAAAAGAAAAAGGAGTGTTAAAAAGAAATTAAAAATGTCGGTACATCGTGTCCAGATTGCCCCGCACGAGGCGGAACTCATTCCGATAGAGCAGGACGAGTTGGGCTTGATTCCACAGTGCCTTCGCGAGCGTCTGAAGGAGCGCAAGGCTTCCGGCCTCAAGATGCCCAAGCTCATGTACATCAACGCCACCGGCGCCAATCCCACGGGCACCGTGATGCCACTCGAGCGCAGACACGAGATCTACAGGCTCGCTTGCGAGTACAATTTCCTCATCCTCGACGACGATCCTTATCACTTCATGTACTTCACGGACGTAAGTTGACACGATCGTACACCCACATGCATACATGTAAGACGCTTCGAGGGCCTCGAAGGAGTCAAGCGGATATTAGCGTATACGCGAGTCTAAATGGTTATTGCACGCGCTAATGGGGCTCGATACGGAGTCAATAACTGACGAATAATTGCATCTTGATCTCGTATCCATCGACGCTGCACGTAAATTCGAGCGTGTAGCTCGCATTCCTTTTTGTCAATAGTGCACAAATTGCGTTGCTGCAGTGTTGATGAGCATTTCAGATGTTATTGAACTTATTTAAATCAGCTCTACCGAACGATTGTATTTTCAATAGAAAAAAATCAAGTGAAGGATAGATACGCAGAACGTGGAACATCCTGTGGGCAAATTAGCGTTTTGATCAATGATAATGAATTTTTTTTTAATTAATAATTGATCGATTTGGTTAAACCGTACGTCCATGAAAGCTTTGGCATATTTTTTCTGTCTAACGATATATTTAATGAAAAAAGTGACCTTGGACAGATGAGAAAAAAAAAATTGTGGTTATTGCAGGAAGCGCCAACATCTTTCCTGGCCCTCGACACGGAGAGCCGCGTCATAAGGGTGGACTCGTTCTCGAAGGTCTTGAGCAGTGGCTTGAGGATCGGTGTGATTACGGCGGCCAAACCCTTGGTCGCTACCATCGAGCTCCACATGCAGAGCAGCCACTTGCACGCGCCCACTTTGTCACAGGTTTGGTTACATACATCCCCAATCTCACGAGATTCGATCTCCGAACATGTTCTTTTCGCAAACGAATGTTTATTCCCTCGTGTTAACGGATCGATGAATTTGTTGTTTTTGATTGATGGGCAAATTTAAAGGTTAATTCGCACGCATTGTACATATCGCGCCACACTTGTTATCGTAAATATATTTCTCCTGGTAACAAACGTTTGTTCATTCTCTTTGTTTTTCACTCTTTTCTTTTTTTTTTTTTTTTTCTGTTATTAACATCAGCGCTTCGTATTATCTGGTTACGAAAACCTGACACTCTTATCATCCCTAGCCTTTATATGCTTACTTATCTCTCATCATGTCTCTTCGATTATCTCCTAATTTCTTTCTTTTTTTCTTTTTAGCAAAAATAATGCTCTTTCATGATAATCTGCACTATCATTAACCTTCGCAGTTTAGTCTGAAATTTTTAATACAACCTTTGCGTGATCGACATTGTCGTCCCACAATTTTTTTATTTCTTTTTCACATTAATAACGTCGAGTAAGATGACATTTTTTTATAATTTGCTAATTGTCATGCAGAATTTAGTCGAACTCAGCTAAACATTGTATACAGTTACAAAAAAGCTTTATTAGATTTTTGTACGGTTTTCGGTAACTTGAATCGTTCAAGTTTGGGTACCTCAATAAATTGTACAACAATAACAACAGTAACGTGTTTTATTCAATAAAATGTATGAGCCTATAACGAAAACAAAAAAAAAAAAAAACACATGAAATATCGGTACCGAACAATCACTGGCACGAGTCAGCTCACGCGGTACGCGCTTATCAGGCGCGAAGAATCTCGAAAGCTCATTAATAACATTGATAAAACGCGTGTGTTGTTAAACAGCTCGAGCAAAGTACGTGCGCCCCTCTGTTGTTATGGGAAAAAGTATCGCTTTTATGAGTTTTAATTTAGATCATTCTCAATAAATTATATGCTCGTCTGAAATACACGCATGTTTACTCGCATTTTCATCGAAATTTGCAATGAGTAAGGGTTTTTTTTTAATACATATGCATAGATTTCTTTCGACTCTTTTGATTGTATATGAAGATTGAAAAACAGCGGGTTGATTGAAGGTGAAAAATACTATTGTTACAGGTGATACTGTACAAACTGTTGCAAATTTGGGGATTCGACAAAATGATGGATCACTTCCGTAAAATAAGAGTCTTCTACAAGGAGCGACGTGATCTCATCGCCAAATTGGCAGCGCATCATTTGCAAGGTAACACTGACCACCACACCAGTTTACGCTGACGATGTAAGAATGTAACGTGCCGTGGTAATGAAAAAAAAAAATTTTTCATCAATTCACAGGCATAGCTGAATTTTCGGTACCAAGTGCCGGATTCTTCCTGTGGATCAAAGTACCTGGAGTACAGGATACCTGGAAAATGGTCATGCAGCGAGGAATCGCTCACGGAGTCCTAGTTGCACCGGGAGCTGCCTTCATGGCTGATCCGTCCGAGCCTTGCAACGCCATCAGGGCGAGCTTTGCTAAAGCCACGTACAAAGAAATGAATTTGGTGAGTTGTCTTACAGTTTTTTCGTAGGTACGTGATATTTTTTTTTTTTTTTTTTTCACGAGCTGAAAAATTTTACGGAATTCATAGAATATGCCAAATGAACAAGTATAATTTGTTAAAGTTAAAAGTTAAAAATTTTTAGTTTAATTTTTTGTCGATTAAGATAAATTAAATTTTTTTTTTTTTCCTCATAACAGGCAATGGAACGCTTGTCGTTGTTGATAAAAGATGAATTGTCGCGGAGTAAATCAATTTTACCCGGTAACACGTGAAATTCGGGATGGTGGAGAATACACTGAAGGGGTGAAACTTTTCATCGACGTGCACCATCCAGCTGTGGGTAAAATAAACGCAACTTCGGCAAACTATAGCTACAGTAGGTTTCTAGAATCCTACAGTTCGACCTATATATTTTGGTGCAGTGCAGCGCACCATCGCAGCCGTCGATAATATACATCAGAGGATATGCCTTACCGACGTATCTATCGCCACTTGACAATGACGACGACCGTATTTTTGCCAAAATTACGTTTTGTATCATTTGTAATTAAGTAGATTAGAGCACGTGCAAGCGCTTTTTCTTGATTCATAGGTTGAATTCTCCTGTCAACTGTTGCACAAATAATTTCGAGAACCTAGTGTGTTATTTAATAAATAATTGAATAAAATAATTTCGGATTTTTATTTAACAAATAATGGAAAAAATCGTTTTTTATTGAATAAATTTATACTTTTGAACAACTCGTATGTAAATAATTTATCTGAATTCATTCATTACCTAAATTTAAAAAAGTAATTTAAACGCATTTTTATAATCCCCTCAAGCTCATGTGTTTCTTTTATATGACAAAAGATAAAAATATACAACTTCTTTCAAAAATCGATGCTAAATAACCCGACCGATAGTTAATTGTTTGTCGTTGACTTTGCATGCTAAAGTTCCACTATTTTACTAATTGAGTAAAATCTGTACCTTAATATTCTATGCTAATAAACTCGGCAAATCCAGTGAAGACACGCCACTTTGAGAGAGGGAGGCCGAACGTATAACGTAATTTTTTTTTTGTACATCAATTATATCTTTGTAATTTGAATTTGCTCAAAGTTTAAAATTACACGAGTGTTATAATCATTTAAAAGTTAATATTTATATTTTAAAATTTGTTTGTTTCAATCAACTAATCAACTTTCATCAACAACTTTGTAATAAATTCATAATAAAGTCTAAAACTTAGTATTTTAAAGCATGACTATTTAATTTGTAATAAATTTTTTAAGCGAGTAAATTGTAGTTCAATCGATGAGAGTGAAAGACAAATTTAACTTAAACCAATTTTTTTCATAATTTACTTTTTTTAACTTTCGGGGAAGAAATTCGTGATAAATAAAATGAAAGGGATAATAAATGTTAATTATTGTAGTGCAAAATTTTATTATCGAATAATTTACAGAGCGAGTACAACAGACATTGTATTTTATCCGTAATTAAAGTAAATTCATATTAATTTAAAGTAAAACTGAACAATTTACCGATGATTTCTTGCTCGTAACAACAACGCGATGTTTTATTATCACATCGTTTTTCCATTGCTCTCTTCAAATTAATGAGATCCTGAAGGCTAAGATAATCAACAATAATCACGTCCAAAATCTCAAGCGGCAATTGGTTGTCGAAATTTCGAAAAATCTGACTTAAGTCGTCAATCATTGATTTATAAAGAGATTCAAATACAATGCCCGTGTGCAAGATCTTATCGAGTATACCCGCGTAAATAGGAAAGTGTGCAGTGTTCATAAGTACGAAAGCCTCGCGTACCGCAGGTTTTTTCACGAGGGTTATAAGTTCTTGCTTGCTCGTACGCAAAACATCGAAGTACGACACTTTGTCGCATATGAAGTTGCGCTTCATGTTATTCAACTCGATTTCGCAGTCCTCAATACAACTGCCGAATTCCACTTCATCCCAAAGGAACTCTTGCAATTTTAGGTCCAACTCCAGACCGGCTGCAAGCCTCTTAACGTAGTGATCCAATAACCATCGATGTCTCGGGAAAATCTTTTTTTCCGTTCCATGAATGATGAAATCTAACGAGTATTTCGTCAATTTGTCCGTTTTCAGAGTATTGCGGGTAAGTCGTCCTTCCACAAGTTTTTTCTTGCTAATTTTGAATTTTGCGCTCCATTTGATTAAATAATCGTTGGTACAGCAGAACAAAAGCAATTTAAAAAGCTTGGACGTGCTTTTGCAAAAAGCATATTCTATGGGTGTCCAAAAATACGAATTGTTGGGATCAATGGAGACTCCAAGTTTCAAAAACTCGCAGATGATCTTAAAGCAATCCTTGGGTAATTCAGCCAATTGAAGGAGCAGGGACTTACACTGAGGACATTTAGTGTTGAAATTCGCTCCGCGCTCTGCCATAAGATTTATCAAGCGTATAATGTCGCCATCCGAATATCTCCAGAGGACTTGTCGAAGGAGTATCCTGATTGTTTCGTAATTAAAGTTTTCGCAGTAGCGCAGTAAAAGCTCCACAATTTTGATGTCGCAGCCAATTGAAATTCCATACACAATCAGACTGATGACCGGGTCTTTAGTTGGCATGACATCGCTTCGAAGCAGTGATTTCGCTATATTCGTGTCCTTACAGCAAAAATACCGTCTTGGCGTATATGTGCCTGCACGGACGTTAATGCCCAAATCAAGAAGAAGAGTTATTATTGAGGGTTCGTTGATCGAGTAATGCATAAGAGTACGACCATTCCAGTCCGAGCAATTGATATCTGCTCCCCAATGCACTAGGGCTCGAATCAAGTTACTGTTTTTCAGTTGCACTGCTTGGAACAAAAACTTGCCACCATCTCTCTCAATAATTGTTTTACTTTCCTTCGATAGTTCTATCTGAAATGAACTATGAGTCATAACGAAGTCATGATGTATTAACATTTAAAATGATACACTTACCTCGAAATATTGTTTCGATCCGTATTGGAGTAAAAGTTCTATCGTTGAACTGTTACTGTATTGAACTGCCAAATCCAGACACGTTTGGTCCTGCATGTTTTTTTTGTCCACGTCATAAACACCAGCTTCTAGCAACTTCTTCAGCAGGCCCGTGTTCATTTTTTTAACGGTTTCATAAATGTCGTAATACGTGGCCATGTACTTGTCATCCATGGTGTACTTATTTCCTTGGGTTGTTGTAGTCCGTTGATTGTGGACACACAAAAACTTGCTCGTAAAATTACGTTACATTTGATACTTGATTACGTGCACGAAAGTACTGCACTGAAAAGCTCGTCCGCTGTACAAAATACGAGAGCCAAAGTGAGCCACGAGGCATAAATATAAATTCCATTGTAATTGTGTAAAGGTGATGCGATAAGTCGAGGAATCATTAGTGGGATGACGTATTAGGTTCCATTTCAAAAATAATCTAGCTGTAAAGTCGTCACTGGAAGTGTTAAGTACTTATGTTGCCCCACAATTTTATAAATGTCACGCTATACGATTTGACGAACGTCTAATTTCAATAAATCTGTAGAGCATTTCTTCCTTGGGAGACCTGTGACTCCTAACTTTCGAATAAAGTCCAACATTTTGTAGCGTGGCACTTTAAAGTGGTGTATGACGCGTTTCAACACTGTTCCATACGGAATAGAGAGGATTTATTTATTATTTACAAGCGCAGATGGGTGATGATTATTTTAACAAATTAAAAATAATAACTGATTTTTTTAAATTCTCAAAGTCTAGATTTGAGACTAGTGATCAATTTTAATAGGTATTTAATTTAAAATACATCACGTTGTATTAACGGTTACTATTCTTTTTTTTCGTCATAAACGTCATTCTTGAATCATAAACATAAGTAAATAGTAAATTAAAAGACCTTTCATTGTTAATTATCACTGTCTGACACTTTACTTTTAAAATTTATGAAAAAATTAATAATTTTTTATGTATTTTTTTATTGTGATATGTTTGATATCATAAAAAAAAAATAATTTTTGCAGGTACTTGTACCAATCAATCATGCAAAAAAAAAAAAAAAACAAATAACTAATAATAAGTATTAAGAAGTTTCAAATAATAACTTGTGACAGATGATTGTTAATGATAAGTTTTATGAGTCGTATCGAATCTAGACTTCATCAACTTTTTTGTTTTTTGCGTCACGGGAGAAAAGAGTTTTAACTCCTTTTTTAAAATAGTGATATTCAAATTATGAAGAGCCTTTGTCGCAATGGGCATAATAATTGGAAGTGATGTGGATTTCTGACGAAAAAAAGGTAAATTCTCTCTTCTTTATTGAATTTGAAAATCACCCCAACTTTGGTTTCGAATATAAATGATTATAAAAAATCGATTGGTAAAGTTGTAGCGATCGTTTTTTGAGTAGCAGATATAAAGCACCAATATTGCCGAAAACTGCACTTTTGGTTAAAAACTTTTTATTTCTCATCCATTGGTCTAAGTTGCGGCTAGTATACAATGTTGGTCATGTAACATTTTTCAAATACCAACTTAACTCACCATCTAAATACACAATCACAAAAATACTTTGGATCCCGATAAATCATCGGAATCCTCAACTTCTGCGGGATTTGCGGCTGGTATTTTTTTTTCAACACCTTTGGGCCTTAGCTTTACCTCTACCAATGTACAGAACGCAGTTCCTTTACGCTCCAGTTACGCCACCACGCGAGTGACAGCCGAACGAAAAAAAACATGGCAGCGCCCACGACGCCGCCGACGACGGTTGGGGAGCAGACGGTGCAGTCAGTTTGTTGTTGTCGCGCGTTTAAATTTCAAGTGGAGATGGACGCGTGTACAAACGTCGTCGTCGGGAACGAGGTCGAGTTAACCGGAGACGACTTCGAGGATGTAGTAGCGCACCCAGACCTGATGAAGGATAATCTGAGAAAATTAAAAGAGGCGTGCAATAATTACAAAAACCGTGTAATAAGGCTCGTTCAGGAGTCAAAGTTACGATTCTCAGGTACGTATACGAGTAGTGACTCCTTTTGGTACTATTTATATTTGTTTGTTCGTGGATGGTCCAATGATTAAGGTATTTTTATTTTTTGCCAAAGAACGAGCCAAACAGTTGGAGAAGAGCTATGAGACGATGGCGCAGCTGTCAGGTGAAAGGCTGGAGCTGAAGGAGTCACTGGAAACTATAAGGCTGGAGCAGAAGGTCGTCGAGAAAAAGACCATGAATTCCATCAGGGAGATAGATAGGATCAGGACTGAGATGGAGCTTATCAAAGAAAAAAAAGAGACACTGTCACTGGAAATTGTTGACCTGCAGCAAGGTAAGCCCTTGGAGCATTTTTCTTTGCTTACCCTTGATAGAATAACAGTAGGTTTTGATCCTTTGTGAGTCTGATTTTGTATGTTTCTTAGAAATTGATAACTCAAGGGATCACTTGAAAAAACAGTGGGAGGCTATCAAAAAGGCATGCAGCAAGTATAAGAATGTACTCGATATTCATATCGATACAGAGATGGTGGATCATATTGAGCATGTGACAGTGACATACTTTTGGTCTGAAAATCCAACTGACCATAAATTCTTTGTTATACTCCAGTATGAAAATGACTGTTGGAAAGGTATGTAACCTTGTATTTTTAACAAAACTAGCTACTGTGGACTTTTTCTTACTATTATGTTGATGGCTATATTTCTGTTTCAGTTAAAAAGATTGAACCAGAACTAAGCGCAGAGCAAAAGTATCAGCTAAATCATGTGGTACACTTTTCGAAGCAATCAGAAGTGCAAAATGTTACTGCATTACTCAGTGAGTTAAGGATTTTGTTTCTGAAAAATTATTTTTAACATTAATGTAAGATAGTACATAACTACAAAATATCATTATTTAAGACTTCTAGTATTAAACATTAAATGATGTAAAAAATCTTATCATACATAGTTTTATATTCATGCTGTACATAGATATTTTGATAATAAATTCTACACTGATATTTCTTTTTGATATATTATTTATATTTGCTACTTGGACATTGACTAAAGATGAATGTTGAGACTCCTTCCCCTTACCTTGGCTAGCACTCACTGTGTCAAAAGCCCAGTATAAGTAAAAACCGCGATTTAAACTAAACTTGACAAAAAATGAAGTACTTGCTAATTGCTTTAGCAAACTGAGCCAGTAGGGTACTTGTGGATAATTTATTGAACCAAGAAAATAAATTTCGTGACGTACTTAATTTTGTGGATGATTCACTGCAATCATGTCAAAAGTTAATGTAAATATCAGCAGTACAATGTTTGTAAAATCTGTCAGCTAGCTTGGACATGAGAAATAAAGACCGTCATCTGATTATCTGTCTTGAATAGTACGTTTCTGTGAACCTAGAATTATAATTTCTACTTCACATTGAGTTAAAGTTAATTGGACTTGACAAAAATACCTTGTTATTTGCTCGAAAACAAAATAATAGTATAAAATAATTTTAAATAAGATGAAACATTTTAACAAGATTAATATTTTATTCTAAACTTGGAATTTCAGTTCACTAATATCGCTTACAAACACCGCTTCCACAGATTAGTTGAAAAAAAACAAAATAATTTTAAAACTACACTATCCATTTTGTAATATAGTATAAACTGATAAATTAATTTGAAACGAAAAAGCAAGCTTATCTTCACAAAGTTTTGTTTATTAACGTTTTATTGTATTTTTAAGTTTTTTATTTGACTGCAAGAACTCCAATGTGCATAATATATACGCATACTTTAAATTACTCTTTTGCGTAATACACGCTTTCATTTGTAGTACAGAAACAAATTATACGTAGGACGGGAAAATTTTTGATATGTAGTTTTTTATTATTAAATTTCATAAAAAATACATAATTTTTATTCTATAAAAGGTTACACTCATACCAATATGTTCTATAATACTTGTTGTAAAATTATGAAAGTTAACAAAATAAAATCGTACTTCTAAGAAAGCAGTTAACATTATTTTTTATTTGTAAAATAAAACGAATTAATATATTGTGGCCCTAGTACATTTACCTACACATCTTTGATTATTTTAATAAATGGGTTTATGCTCTTACAAACTTTCATTGTATTTCACACGATAATTTTTTTCAAAGTTTAATTATTACTAGCTATTGATTACACGTATATTTATAATAAAATCAATTTTTACATAAAAAAGTCGCCAAATAACTAATTAGTTCGCTAAATAATGTTTTTTTTTTTTTCAAATTAAAAAAAAAAATCTTATATTTTACACATACTGTAAAGTTGTTTATATTGTCAAAATAATATTTTTGGTAAAAATTTGAAGGTAATAGCATTTAATTTCATTGCATTACGGAAAGACAAAAATGTGCTTGAGAAAATAGAAAAAATTCTCTGTTTCTTTATTATTTTTTATTCCCATAATCGCAGAAATAATAACGTACAGTGATATTCAGCCAAAAATTCAAACGAATGGTTTTTCAATTTCAAACTTTGACGTCCAATTATTAACCAAACGATCAATCGATAAAACTAAATTAGATAAAAAAGTCTTACACATTAATATTTGAGAGACAAAAATTTTGAAAGACAGATCGATGCGTCAAAACAATCGAGCGCTTTACACTTAACATCATAAAATTTTTTATTTTTTAATTTTTTTGTTTTTTGCGTCACGGGAGAAAAGAGTTTACTTCTACAACCACACATTAAATTATAGGCACATATACATCTACACGTACACATAACGTGTACTACCCAAGCGCGCACACACGTGCGACAAATTTCCTTAACGATAAAAATTTCCATCCATAAAACTCAACGATTTAAAAACTTCGGATAAGACAGCCGAATCATCTTCACTCTGGCGCACTTATTTTTACGCGCGCACGTAGCAACGGAATAGGTAGTGGCGTATACATGGGCACACAACATAACGCAGGTCCCAATATGTATTACGGGTGCGCCGTTGTAACACAATTCACGTCCCTTTGATGCTGGCAGGAAAGTAGAGTAGGAGGGACGTGAAGCGCCGTCGTCGCGGGGTCAATTGGTGATCGCCCACTGCCAATCAAACCGTGCCGGCCGACGGCGTCGTCATCGTGTCTTCTTTGTCTTTAGCTCGCGTTATTGCTCGAGAGAGCGCCACGGCGGATTTCATTATTCCCATCATTGTCCATTTGATCCATTGATCTCCGGCCCGACTCGCCCCTATGGGGCCCTTTCGTCGCGTCCGTCGAGAGACAGTGCGTATTCAATTAGCGATCGATGTCTCGCCGATGCCGTCTCTTCGTTCCTCCTTTTCCCCTTTCTTCCTCGTCCTCGTCGCTCGGCAAAGATGCGCCCGACGAAATTGTTACGAGGACTTTTGCACGTAAGTGTAGCCGAGATTAATTATAATGGCGCCACAACTGGACAGTTGAGTGAAAAATTGGCTGTACCGACTCGTTGGCGAATTTCTTCGTCGATTTACTATTGTACTTGTCTTTGCTCGGGATTTCATTTGGGGGATTTTTTTTTTTTTTTTTTTTTTTTTTTTTTCTTGCGTCCTAAATCGATGCTCCAATGTTGTTTTCACTTTGATGGGGTGATGTGATTGGAGACGCTGTATTTTCCAAGATTATCTTCGTCATTTGGACCAATTCAAGAAGAAAAACAATCGATCAGCTTAACGTTACAACTGGTTGTGAATGAATGAAAATTATTTACACGTGTTGATTAAACTTTTTTTTTTTTTTTACAACTAATTACCTTCACGACTAATTTCTATGCTTATGTCAAGTATAATTAAAAATATAATATTTTACTTTACGGTGTAACAGGTGTACGTTTGGTCAGTGATATACAACTATACACTAAGCTTATTGTAGTCGACAATCCATACTGTAAATATTTGTTCGACCAATTTTTCATCCCCATTCTTGTATTGTTTTCCCTCTGATCATCGGCTCTTTAAAAAATATAGTATCGTTGCAATTTTCTTACAGACATATATATTTTTTTCACGAGTCCAGTTTGACTACTAAATTATATGATAAATTGAACTGTATATTTTTAAATATTCCTAAGCTGTTAAAAATTGGATCTACGGTTTTTGAAATAAAATTGCAGCAGTTCGGTATTCTCTTGAATAAATCTTTTGGGTTGAAAAAAAATGAACCACCTTAACCATGTCATGGACCATCAAAGCATACCTATCGCGTAATCCGATCGACTGTACACTGCAGTACACGCTGCACAATAATAATTGTCCCACACCCCTGAAGCCTTGTACATCAGTAGCATGGCTCCAGTTATACGTGTCCACGTACACTCGAAATCGTAGCTTTCCTCAATATTTCAAGGTTTCGAGAGAGAGAGAGAGAGAGAGAGAGAGAGAGAGAGAGAGAGGGGGAGGGAGGGAGGGGGAAAAGGTATTATTTATACCAAAATCCTCGTTCTAAGGAAAAAAAAAAAGGAAAAATTACTCGAGGGTCGCGGCGAAGGAGACGTTGCTGCTCGAGGCTGCAACCGCGTCTGCCAGCAGCAGTGTAGGCGGTAAGGGCGGCCCCGGCGTTGTTTCGGGCATCGTTGTCTCCGGCAGGGGTGGCGGTGGCGTCGGACAGTCGTTCGCTACACCGAAGACCTTAGCGTGGTTCACTTCCAGGGCGACCGTCAGATCTGCCAACCCGGCGTCGCAAAGTACTGGATTATCTGTGGAAGCGATTTCATTGTTTATCTTTCGCTCTTGCGAGTGTCTTTTTCCTTTCCTCCCTTCCGCGTGGAGAAAACTTTGTATGCGATGGATGAAATATCGAATAAGTGTACTTTGCCTGACAATCAAATTTTTTCTCGACAATAATAAAATAAGACTAATTTTAAGTATTAGAAATGAAAATTTCAAAAAATAGTGCCGAATTGGAGTTGGAGGAAATTTTTTTGTTGTCAATTAATCGATGATTCGTCCTAACGTGAATTTAATGTCAAACTTTCAAATGAAAAAATGAAGCAACGTCATGCACGTTCGAAGATGTATATACCTATCATGAGGTAAACGATCATTGGTGTAATGATTGCGTTACTTTGTTCGCACAGACGCGCCCGAACGTACATTGCGCTAATTTAAAAAGATTTACGAAGCTCGTACTCCTATATAGAAAGCCCCTTTATCAAATCATAGTGCCTCAATAAGAAGCACTTATTAACCACTTGAGTTGCAAACGATTACTACGCAGTCGATCGTTCGAGCATTAATGTCGATCATTGCTGTTTACTTTGTTTTTTTTGTGAATTTTTCGATGCTTCCCTCACATCGCATTGTAAATTTTTTTATCCTTATTCAAATGCAAGGATGTGAAGGTTATCAAAATCTTACGAACTTTTTTTACCTGAAATACTTGTTTGTTACTATAGTAGTATAAATTTAAATATCATTTCCGAGACTTTCATACAATGTACAGTCACAAAATTAAAACTTTATGCAATGATATTTTGAGCAAACATTTCAATGGTTATTTTGAAACTGTTGACTTCTCTTAAATACAGTATTTTTGCAGATAAGGCAGTTATTAAATATAAGGTAAGGTATAATAACATACCTTTTAAAACTAAGTAAATGAAAAATGATAACAATCAACATAAGTGCAAACTTAAAAAAAAGCACATTGTCCTCGTGTGTGTCAAATAAAATATAATTGTAAAGGCAAATAATATTTGCACTGATGGTGCAATATTTAATATTGCTCGTGTGCTCAGAAAAATTGATTCAGTACGATGGCGCATCATACTACATGACAGTGGATAATGAATTGCTTCCATTACTCTCACGCTATTACGACACTTGCATTTATGCTCGATTACAATTTGAATCAACGTGAAACGGAAAACGACATAATTTTCATTACGGGTGATAAAAGCTTTGTCAAGTATGACTATATCAAACGTGTGGTACACATAACGCGTAAAGTTGAGAAACGTCGTAATAAGTGCACGATGCACAAACGGGGCGACAAAAATTGTAATTAATGTGTTATCCATTGCGAAGTAACACTATTCACTTGTAATCAGAAAATTTCAAATCACCTGTTACACTTATATGCACTTATAACTTGTAATTTAAAACATTTCACCTCGCACTACTTTTCTGATAGCTGATTTGTACATTAAAAAATTATTCAATAAACATATAACCATCGATAAAATTTTTAAGGTGATTTAAAATATTAATGAAAAATTGTAAAAGTATTGGCTTGTAAAATTTTTTGTTTGATGGCATTTAAATATCAAATATCAACTCTTTACTGCAACGATGTTGCACAATGAGAGCTAAGTAGGAAATGAGAAAAAATTTAACGAAAAAAAGCAACCCAACCAAATGTTGCGTTAAACACTACTCGGATGACAGAGGCGGATCGCTTGTACACGCAGCAATCGTTGCACAACCGGAAACTTTTGACGATCGATCTGAACCGTCGGATAATAGATCGGTAGCACAGAACAGATTCTAGGAAAATTGTAGCCCTTTATATATGCTCTTCTGTAAAATACACATACATAGTCACCCAAACGTACTGGAGGTAATCGGCTATCAATTTCCGATCATACTATACCGATTTCAGAAATTTTGTACGATACATTAACTCCTTGCTCTATTCGTATGTACAACCCAACTAGAGATTAATAAAAACGTTGAATTTATACAGCCAGTTCATCTAGTGTAGATTAAAAGTAATGAAAAGACAATAATGTAAGTCGTCACGCCTTTCCCAAACGTGAACGGATTGTTTTTTAACAACCGATTTCTGTACAAAAACAAGTGCCGATTTTAATGACTTGTGCGCAAATTACAAGTCTGATACTAAGCTTTCTTCGGTTAGTATATTCAAGTGAAATTAAATAATCTTAACGTCCCAGATGATAATAAAGAGTTTGTTAAAAAAAATCGGTATGCACGTGTTGCAGTGACACAACTGATCTTGTAGATGCACAAGCAAAGGTCTCCGTGATCCCCGCGAGAATATCCCCCGTGCTACCGGTCTAAAAGGGAGAGTTCCCTTTGTTAGTGAATGAAATCGTGCCTTGGTCGCGCCAACGTGTCAATAGGGTTATCGAAGGCAGCGCTGAAGTTTACCGCCCGTCCCGAAGATTGTCAATATTGCGCAGTGCGCGCTCCAAGTTGTGACGTGCACGCGGGTAAGATAATGCGGGCGACGAAGAAGAAAAGCTCGCTAACTCTGATGCGACACATTTTCAAATGTCCGTAGCTATGGTTCGTTATTATCTCTTTCTGATGCGTGAAAGCTCGCGCGCGACGTGACAGTCATTATTGGAAAATGCGAGGCACCGGTATCGCGGCAACTGTCCGTCGTTTATTGAGAAACTTTGTGCGAATCTGGATGCGTGCATGGAGATTTGTTTTTTTCACGAGTTGTGTTTCATACGTATAGAGTTTATAGAAGACCCGTTTTTATTTAGAAAATGAATCATCTGAATCTTATTTGATGCAAGTATCAGTGATTTTGCTCTATTGGAAAACAATTATTGGGATTATGGAATTTTCGCCAAGTCCAACTGCCCAAAGTTAAAAATGGTATTTTTAGTAAAAAAATATTGTCAGCAACCCCCGCCTCTACCCTCCAAAAAAAATACCGAATCCGTCAACTTATTATCACAAAAGTTCTTATCACGTGCATCACACGTGAGTCTCGCGTGCGTAGTAAGCAACGCAACAACAAATATCCTAAGCGCGTATATTCCCATAGGACCTTTGAAAATGATAAAAATTAAGTAATCCAAACAAAGTATATACTGGCGCCAGAAGTCTACAAACAACGATACCAATACAATCGAACAGCCGATAAGGATCGATAATACTTACCATGTATTGGGGAAAAAAAAAAAAAAAAAAAACGAGGGCGCCAATGAAAAATCGTCAACCCACACAACATAAGTGCTGTATACACGAGCAAAGTATTTACGTAAACACGTTGACGTATGTCACTCGGATAAGAATGTAAAGCGAATCAGTGAAAAGTAGCTACACTAAAGGGAAATGAAAAAAAAAAAAAAAAAAAATAGTAATAACAATAACACGAGAGAAATGGGGATTGAGGGGGTAGGGGACAGTGTTTGTACACATATTATTATACACATTATGCGACAAAGAGAGCCAAAGCAGACGAGAGAGAGAGAGAGAGGAGGCGCCGGTTCTCCGTGGCGATCGCTTATGAAACGGCGCGGATCGGCGGCGCCAGTGCAAGAGAAAGGGAGAGAGCAGATCTGGGCGCGCTCGCATATATTGTTTTGTGTGCACGCGAGGGTTATCTACTCGGCTCCCCCCCCCCCCGAGCTTCTTTATATATTTTCTTTTTTTCCCAGTAAGAAGTGACACCAAGACATTTTTTACGCGCCAACCGAGAATAATAAATCGATAAAGTTTTTCGAAGCTCCCGACACTGTGTGTGTTTTGTGCGCGTTACATCGCTGTACTGTTTTTGACAGTTGTGGGTTAGCACGACGAGTTAAAGTGATATAAATTTTCAGCCGCACGGAAAAATATGAGCTTCCCAACGAAGATCAACAACGAGGCGCCAGGGGGGTCCGTTCCTCTTGTGCATCGTGCCATCAATTCCCACTTACAGCTAATGTATTTTACGGCACACCCGTTTATTGTGAGTCGCTCTCATTGACGAATAATGGACGAGAACTTACTTCACGAGAGGCACGATATTATGCACATGTAAACGTTTGACAAGACGATTGGGTGATGTTACGTTTTGGCAAAATATTTTTGTTTACGAGGTGAATGGTGTGGAATAAAAGAGGAAAAAAGGGTGGAGTCGAGTCGATAAATTTTCGGTGCGCACGAGAGAGAGAGAGAGAGCTTTTATTAGCAATATCGAGAGGCTCGATGGGTTCGTGAATCGTAAGTGTATGACGGGGTGTCGCGTCAAGTGGCTTTATTGCGCGTGATTTATAAGATTTTTGTTTGATCGGCTCAACAGATTAATTCAATCGCCGGTTGGAATATGTGCCATTGGTCATGTTACGTGCTCGCAGTCGCAATTGTCACGAGTAAACCAGCTATTTGAATTTCATGTGGTTTGAGTTGGTGTCGTTTTTAGAGCTTTCTTATTTAATCTGTAAAAGTGCACGATTTCGGGTACATGGCGAAAAAAAAACGGCACCATGGCACAACTTTCATCTCCAACAAATGTATGGGATTGGTTAGTTAAAAATTGTAACGAGAGGTTTTCTGCGCAGTATCCGCATCATGTTGATTGTACGATTGAAAAAATGACAATCGGGTTGTAGGATGATTGGAAAGCACTTACCTTGGAGGTAGATCCGTAGAACGTCGGGCACGCCGTGTACGGTACAGCGAGTGTTGGACACGAGCTCGGGCTTGAGGGTGCTTATCTGGTTGGCGCTCATGTCCACCCAGCAGAGGCCGGGGAAGCCCCGGAAGTCGCGCTCCGACAGAATGACGAGCCTATTGTGCGCCACGTTGAGCTCCTCCAGCGCCGGCAGCCACGTCTTGAAACAGAGACATTTTTGTACGATTTCCAAGTTGTGCCTCCAATGGAGTCACTCCTCGGTTGTACTTACCTCGGACGTGTCCTCGAGCGTGATGAGCTCGTTGTACGAGAGATCGAGGACCCTGAGGCTCTCGAGTCCCCGCAAGTCGCGCAGAGCTATCGCCGGCCCGAGGGCGTTGTGGCTCAGGTTGAGCCTCTGGAGCTCCTTCATGCCCAGGAAGAGCGAGCCCTCGAGGTTGCGGATCTCGTTGTGCTGCAGCCGTATGTCCTGGATGCTCGAGCCGGCCGTGTCGTCGCCCTCCTCTTCCACTAGGTTCTGGAGTACCACGACGGGGGACAGAATGCCGCGCTTTAACAATATTCGTTTTTATTATTCGCATTGCTGACGACACGAGCCGTACGAAACTTTCTTCAAAAGACATTTTTTGAGAATTTTTCGACACGCTTCGACATTTTACTTAATTTTTTCCAAAAATCAGGTCGAATGTTTAAGAAAAATCATTGCAAAACATCTCAGAATAGGGTATTTCCTAAAAATCTCGAGTAGATCTCCATCTTTTTTTATTTTTCTTTGGGCACAATTTTCCAACTCACAAACGACCTATATGCAGCTTGCAAACAGTTACCTCAATGGTTCTCCTTCCGCGCATCAGTCGGCTAATTTTGTTGTTGGAAAGGTCGAGCAGGCGAAGCTCCCTCAGACCTCGTATGGACGAGAAGGAGAATTGATTGAGATTGTTGTGGGTGAGGTTCAGACACTTGAGAGATTTCAAGGGATACAGGGCACTGTTGGCACCGGTGGTCTCCCCACCCAAGGACGTCAGCGAGTTGTGGCCCAACTCCAGATCTTCCAGCATCTCGGCATCAAGGAAATCCTCCTCTGCCAGCTGCAATCACAAGCGTACACCGATTTTCGTGCTTGAATCGAAGCTTTTCTCGTACATTTTTCAACTACAATAACATTTGCATTAACTTCTCGATCAACAAATCGTAGTAAACAAAAACAAAAAAAAAAAAATTTAATATTCCGTAATTCAGAGGTGTACTATCGACACCAATAATTTTAATCTCCTTACGATGAAGTTTCATCCACGGTAATTAATTGATATAGTTTTATCTGTCTGTGCCACATAACAATACATCGTCACGTGTTATTACATCCATGGATTTCGAGTACATTAAAGAGTAAAAATTTTTGTATTACGAAAGTTGATGATATTGCGTTGCGTAATAACGTAAGACTGTTGTGATTAATGGGGGTAATATATATATTATTATCTCGTATCACTTGTCCATCAAAACATTACATCGAACAAACGTGTATCCGTTCGACATGTGAATACACAATACTGCTTTCGGACGTAGAATCAGGTCATTGTTATATTTTCTCGAACCAACGATAACGAGTTGAACTAAACAACTCGTCAAGCTATCAGAAAAATCGTTTTTCGTGAATGCTTACACATCTGTGACTTGTCAACGAACGCCCAATGAACGTTGCGCTAACTCGATGATTTTCTTCGATTAAAAGCACACGCTGATCCACGTGAAACTCGAAACATCCGTGCAAGCGCGATCTCTCGAATTTCACTCGAAGATGCAGTGCTTCGACGCTGATGGAATGGGAGGAAAAAAAAGCACCCACAAATTAAAGGAGACGAAGGGAAGTGTGTCTTTTAATCCAATGAAGGAGCCAGTATAGCCGGCCGAGCGGCGCGTGCTGCCGGAAACGCCTGATTCGGCAATTATGCGCGATAATTGCGACTAATGCGGCACGCGCGCGACCGCCGTAAGCGTCAAGATTCGTGTTACACGGTCATCTCTCCTTCTCGTTCTCTTCGGGAATACCTCTATACGCTTGTTTGGCTCTTTTTGCTGCAGCTGGCATCCGGGGCAGGATGAACGAGGCAAAAATTAGTGTTTTTCGGCAGTGGTAATTTTTGTTGTTTTTTTTTCCTCCATGTACTTGACACGCAGTTATTACAAGGAATCGCAAATAAACGCAAGTGTAGGAATTTAAATTTAAATTTGCAAGCTCTTTATTGAAACTTTCGTTAATCAAAGCTCTGATGGTTTTTGGGGGAGACCTTCACGCTAGAAGCCGTTTTGTGAAAATGTTTAAACTCGAGCTATAGGTGACTCAAAGTTCAATAACTATTGGAAAAATGAGTGATACTTGTCGAATTGAACAGACTTATTCGTAAGTGGTTATAAAATTAATAAACAAGGAAAAACATTGGTCACTCACCACCTGGAGGTTGTTGTAGGACAGTTCGAGGAACTTGAGCTTGCGAGCTTTCTGCAGTGTACCGTCGAGTCTGGTGATGCGGTTGTGCTGCAGAAAGAGCGAGTCGAGCCTGTGAAGGAATCTAAACTCGGTAGGCAGGTGAGTCAGCTTGTTGTCCGCGGCGTAGATCATCTTGAGATTGTGTCCCGAAACGGGAAGCTCGCCATCAAGGGATGTTAGCTCGTTGGCGTTTATTAGCAGCCATTCCAGTTGATTCAGATCCCTGAACGGTAAACAAAAAAATATGGCGTGAGATCAAAAATCACTGCTTTTTGAGGGACTTGCAAGCTCGAAGTTGTGGCAAGCCTCAAATATTTTTTTAGATTTTTGCAAACGCTCGACGCATATTGTTTACCTCAATGTACGATTCAAACTGACGAGGTGGTTCCTTCCGACGTGGAGATGTTTGATTAGTTGCGGCAATGAACCAGAAACCATTTCTGTGATGGCATTACCGGCCAGAAAGAGGTGCTGCAGCATTGGATTGAACTGCGACATAATTCAAATAATCTTACAACTATTTGTTGTAATATACTTGATAAAATCAAATTGTGTTCATAACTCGATGGAATTAGATTCGTTGTATCGTTGAAAAGACTTTGTGCTTGTAATATAAAACAATGATACAACAAACGAAAAAAATACGTTACTTAGAGAACATAATTTTTTTTTTTTTTCATGACGAGAATTACTTTGTTGTCACAAAAAAAAATAAATATTATTAAATTAGACCCGTCATAGTAGGCAAATATTTTTCTAAATTGCCGATGGGGTTAGTGACGATTCAGTGAAGCAAAACACCCTTGATTTTATTGCCATAATATCAAGTGGAACATTTATGACCACGAGCTTTTTTTTATTATTATGTAGTAGAAAAGCATAAATTAAAATGCTTGTTCAATAAAACTTTGTAAAGTCACGACGACATCAAAGACGAGAATGTGAACTGTTGGTACGGAATGTGAAGGTTTGCCAATGTTGGTGCAATGCTATACAAAGTTGGTGTCAATATACTTGTTTCACAAAACATGCGACTTTTCATTGTATCGATACATGTACGTGGAAATCATCTGGTGCAATCATTATTGTTGCACGAAAAAAAACTAAGAAATTGGCTGGGTGCACATAGCATACTTTGGTTGACTCAAAATTTTCTGAACAACAGAGGCTTGCACTTTGAACAATCAAGTTTTTAACGAACTGGTTGTAACCGGTTTTCGTGCAATTAACAACAATCATAACGAAATTACTATACTATCGATAGTCGTGCTCTCGCGCGTACAAATGCGTATACATGTATGCAGACAGATCCAAGTACTGACGAGAAAAAAAAAAGAGAGGGAGAGAGAGAGATACGTATGAAAGTTCATCGAAGTCTCCGGCAAATTCAAAGAATTCACTGACCCTAGCTATTAAGTAATAACAAAAAAATTACTCGTTATCTCTGGTAAAAAGTGGGGGATGAGCGCTACAGCATTTTAATGATTTAATCGAGCGGTATTGAGTAATGCCTTTCATTTCTATCTTGTTCGTCGTAACTCGATTCACATGCATGTGTATCATCTAATAATGTTGTTGGTGTACTAAATTTTCCGTTACTTTTTCAACGATAAAGAAATCTTTTTTTTTGCACAAACAAATCGCTGTGTTTTTTTGTTATTGTTTTTTAATATAAATACTAATGGTGAAAAAAAACAATTAACGATTAAAAAAATCTATCCATGCCACAACTGATGCAAATCGATCTTGGGCTTGCTTTTGAAATCACTCTCGTGGTTTCAATAAAAGGAGTACGTTACTGTAACAAATTATAGTTGTCCTTGTTATTGAAAATAAAAGAAAGTGCATCAACTCATAAGTCACAGCTTTTTTACATTGCTGACATTTTTATACTCGAAGCATCGCGTGAAAGAGCAAAAAAAATCAAAAAACTCATTCGACGAACTCTTATCGGAAAAGTGAGCTTAGTCGATCAAGCGAGTGAAAATCACATCGACGAGAAGCCTGTTTTCGGCATTTATCTGGATTACAACTATCAGAGTCTCGATAAAACTAGTTGAGTTGTATAGTAAAACTGGATCACCCACGCGAGGCTTTGAAACTCTAAAAAAATTAAAAACACGATAAAACGATGAAAGTTGTTGATCGATGGTTTCGCTGTTGCTGTTTCGTATTTTTATCGACAAGCAACTAATATTTGAAATTCAATACATTTTGAGCAGGTAAAATTTTGCACAGAAACGTTATAGGGAAATATAGTTACTAAAAAATCTTAGAGGAAATTCTTCCATGTATTCCCTATTACGATTCGGAGTTTTAATAAAATATTCTACTGAAGGAGTGTGAAAGAAATATAAAATTTTATCTCGAATTTTCCATACATTTTACAGCCAACATGACAAGTTTAAGCATTGATATCAAACTTATCACACATCCCATCCTCTTCCGTGATTGAAACAGCAACATGTTACAGTCATAACATATCAAACGAGATTGTTTTTCACACTTCAGTCACAAGCTTATAAAAAAAAAAAAAATAATCATCTTACAACAAAGTAATTAGTATCGCAAAAGCCAACAACATCGACATGGCTTGTAAAGTCCGTCTGCTCGTGCATCAATGATAGATCGAAAGACAATGTGTAAGTTACCTTGAAGTCGTCAGCTCCGATGCGAGAGACGTGATTTCTACTGAGGTCGAGGGTTCGCAGTAGATTCAGATGCATCAAGATCTCTTTGGGTATCTCCGGCACTTCGTTATCAGCTAGACTCAGATACTGCGTCCTACTCATTCCGGCAAACACGTCCTCGCCCACGGCTCTGCAACGTTAAATGAGCTTTGGATAAAAAAAAATGTGGTATTAAGCCATTTTTAGAATTTCTATTTGCCGGAAACTCGGTTATGAACGACTGATGCGCACGTACCTCTGTCATAAAAAATTTTTGGCTATTAGATTTTGTTTCGTAATTGGACGAAAAAAATGATAATGAATGAACAAGAACGTTGACATTTACTCTCCCACGACCGGCCCTTCGGAGATTGTCATTTTCAGAAAGAGAAAGAGAACACTGCACGAGCTTTTTTCCCTTTTGACTTGTGGAAAAACTAGTGATAAGTTTTATCTCAAAGCACCCTCACATTTTGAGCTTGCAGTCCCCAATGAGATACGCATGAACAAATGCCATCAACCATGTGTTGTAGCGGGTCATGAATTTTTCATGATTTTTCTAGCGAAAATTGTGAAGATCTTTCATGAATTTATGGAATTGGAGGTCAGAAAAATTCAGTATTCAATCAGAATTTCAAATTATTTTATAATTTTTTTTTAGTCATAAGTTTTCAGAAACATGTAGATTTCCCGTGAAATAATTCTTGGGTACATATCCTCAGTTGGTGCAATGAGATGCAGCTTTCTCATCGTACAATTTGTACCTCTAGTTTGAATAACGTTTGTCCATTTCTTCAAGGTTTTCTTTTAACTCCGAATTGATAAGATTTTTTTTGAAACATCAAAAACACGATGCAGATAGTTGATTGAAAGAAAAAAAGATGGAGAAAGAGAGATAAAATGTTTTGAGACAACTGTGACGTGAGATCGTTGACGTAGACTCTTTTTTTTTTTCATTCGTCATGTAAAAAGTATGAAAAATATATTACAGAAAAATGTAAATGATTTGATTATGTGACAGCCATGTCACATGCCGTCTATCATGTTACAATACATTAGAACATTCGCGAGTGTCACAATATATCTTTTATGGTTGGATGTTTTTTATACGAGTTTTTTCCTCGCTCAAGAATAAGATATCAAGAACAAGTATACTCACGAATGAATATATTATGTGTAATGCTCGTGGTCGGATTAAAAAAAAAGAGCTTTATTTAATTGTTCTGAAAAATTTTTCCCAATTGCACGAAGCACATACGTACACGAAGAACTCATGTATATTCAATTAGCCACAATGATCGACACTGCGCTCGGTGTAATCACCGACTGACTATTATTATTATTATTATTATTTTCTTCATTCGACATCTTCAACTTCGTTCTCGCTGAGCTCGTCTCTTAATTCATAGCACACCCAAAGGTCAAACGGAATTAAGCATACAATTAGTGATTAGGCGAATTCTTTAAAGTATTTAAAAAAAGACTACAGTTTTTTATCAAACGAGTGAATTACAAAACATAATCCTACGATGAAAAACATTCCTCGACAAAAAAGTATTGAATACTAATACTTGAATGAAAAAAGGAACCCTGTGAAAAATTGTTCGAGGGAAGCAAACCATAAGGATGAGTAAAAAAAGTTCATTCAACTCAATTAATCGCGAAGTGGTGTTAATAATGTTAATTATTACCAAGAGATAAAAAGAATATCAACTCTTTTGACTGCTCGATCGTTCAACCAAGCCCTCGTTTATTTCCTCAAATAATGCATCACTTGCAACCACGACTCTCACGAATGTGAATCCAGTGGCAATGAGTTCTAACAGTGACGTTGCCAAACACCAAGTTCTAGTACGTAGTTTACTAAATTCGAAGATTTAGAACCCACTCGGTAGAAGTTAATCAGTCACAGAAGTACTGGGCGCGCCTTCAATTATCACGTGGCTCGAAAAAGTGAGGAAACGCGATATGGATAAGCGAAAAGTACTTCTAGGCTGAAACAATCGTTAAAAAGCCCAAAATACAATATGGGCTCGTGTTTATTGTTAGGAATCACGCGACAGATACGTGCGATTAGCGACGAACGCCGTCTCTTTCCCTCTTGGCGGACGATAAGACGGATTTTAATTTCAACCCGCCTGTGCGAGTGTTATTTTTCTCTGCTGCCTCGTCTGCAACGTATCGCGTGCGCGAGACTCCCGGCGTCTCTCGAATGAACCCCTTGGACGCCACGGTGTACACACTTGGATGTGTGCACCAATAACAACAATAAGTCATTGACAACCATCACGCGAGCCAAGACCACGACGAAAGTACATGATAGAATTTTAAATGGACATGTGTTATACGTTCACACATTGTAGCTATAGCTACATCACTAATGGGCACTTATCGACGATCTTAGTTTCGGATTTTGTTGTCTTCCTAGCTAGCTTAATTTTTTTTTCCAATTTTGATGCGGTCATTGATTCGTTGAAACAAGTCGAGCTTCGTTGGATTAATTTTTCTCGATTCATGACAATATCGAGAATTTGTTTAAAGATACCGGGATGATAAAAATTATGAAAACTTACAGGGAACAACACCATTTGTTTCTAAGGAAGGTGGAATTTCAATTCGTATTTTTTTTTTTTTTTTTTTTTTTATCTTTCAAATTCAATATTTTCATATTGTTATCTCTCTTTCGTGTGGCACACGGTACACTCATTGTTGACAGCCCGTTAAGTGACAAATAAAAAACATGTGTACTCCCAGATATCGCGTATCGACTTGGCACGTTTTTCGATAGACGGTGACGATGTTTGTCGTCGTTATCGCTCGAGCGAGCCACTCACGTGAGAGAGTAACGTGTGCAATGGGCCGGCAATTGAATACCTCGCGTTGTCAAGATTTAAGTAGTAAAACACAGATACGCTCGGACGCAGCGCGAACGCTCGAAATCAAAGGTCAAAGCGCGATTATGTTTCACCGCCGATGTGTATATGTCTTGAAATATCACGATGGTTATTAACTTTGGGCCGTGATTTTTTTTTCCGTGGCATCAAATGATACCTGGTATGATTGCTTTTATCTATTAAATAAAGAGCATCAGGACGCAGAATTTTTTTACATCGATTAAAAAAAAAAATTTTTCCTAAAGTCTCTAAACCGAAAAACAATGGTCTTAAAGAATTTTAATATTTTTAAACTAAATTATTCGAAACGTTGATTTAGAAGTTTTTTTTTATCACATTGGGTGATGTCCCTAGTACTCCTTTTATTTGATGGACACGTATATACATATAATATTATTATATAACCTACGTAATACTTGTCGATAAGGCTGTTCATGATATGTCCCTAGTTCCGGACATACCTTTTTTATCTGTTTCCTTCTGTAGCGGCTTACATAAAGATTTATTTTGATAAGATAGCAGATTAAAAAAATATCATAATACTATCTCTATTCCCAAAATGATATCGTTATTTTATGGATGTAAGTATTAAAAAAAAAGTTATGTAGTCGGTACTAGTGGATACTTACATTTTATGAGTCAAGAATATAAAGCTTATGCTACCATCAATAAAAGTATAACAAGATGTATATAAAAATGATACATAATGTTATGAATAAATTCACAAATATATCCTGGTTTTGTCTTTCGTTTGATGACTTTTCCCCCGTAATACATGACATTCCAAGCAAATTGAGCTCGATTTCAAGGGATATTTTTCGTAAGTTTGCTCATATAAATTTTCACTACATGACTTATACTTTATTCAACGTGAAAAAATTTTTATGTAGTATTTAATACTTACTAATTCTCTGGTAATTTAAATAAGCACTTTTTGTGAGTAACATCAATAACTCTTTTTTTTAATTTATTGCATTTTTAATAAATTATGTGGATCAAAAACTTTTTGATTTAATAAAAATATTGCTGTTTTACAATTTTCAGAAAGTAAATAATATTTGTTGTTTACGAGAATGTTTGTAAAAAACGTTCATTAAAAGTAGCGTAAACTATTAACCGTAATATTCATAGCTGGTCTTTTAATTATTATTCGTAAAACTTGTGAAGTCGAAAGTAAGCAAAGCTTCGAGTCTTAAAATTTTTTTTCCAACGCCATAACATTACAAAACTTTGGTTACAAGATAACACTGCATATCTTTCTAAATAATGAGCCAAGTAAGCCCCGTTTCAAGCAATGACCATCTCACATTATTATAATTGTAAAAAAAAGCCATAAAACTTGTAATCTACAATCCATGTGTTAACGTAGGAAACACATACAAAAAAAAAAATTGATAAGAATTGCTTAGTTTATTTTTTTGTTTTCCTTTTTAAGGCCAATAAATATAATTTCGAACGATAGCACTTGTCACTGACGTCTAGTTGATACTCGGCTATCAAAAAAAACCATAAGATAATTATATTATACACATATGCTTGAGAACTCTTACGCTTCTTCTTTATCACTTTTATCACGCATTCAATAACCAAAGTGACAAGAGAGCAAGAGAAACGAACAGCACACGAAAAGGGGCCAGTACGGGCCGAACAGCTGTCAAAATGAGAAGGAGAAAAAAAATATCAATAAAGCCGTCCATGTGGGTTGGACGTTAGAGGGACAGACTTGAAATCCAACGGTATATTATCAGAACACACGCATCACTCTTAAACGGGTAAGCCTTGAGAGCCCATAAATATTCCAAACGAATACTTGTAAATGAATAAATGAGTAAAACTCACCCTATGCCGTCGTAGTTGAGCTCGAGCTTGACGATGGCCATCCGCAGGGCTTTGAAGCCGTGATCGGATATGTCCTTGAGCTGGGAGTGCGAGACCCTGAGGGTGATCTGCTGTTCGTTGGTGAATTTGCCCGTGAGAGCCTCGGCCACCTGCTGGAACGACTGCATGCGCTCGCACTCGACCTCTATCCGTTCCGTGTGGGGCTGTACGGTGCCGGAGTTGGTGGAGAGCAAGGACGCGCCCAAGGCCCCGGGATCCGTGCCACCGAGGATCGGTAGGTTGCTCGCGGTGGGCATCGGGGGTGGGTTGTTGATCATGGGGCTGAAGTCTTCCTGGCGGCAGGTGCACGGGCTTATCTCGCGGCGCTCCGAGCAGTGCAGATTCGAGCCCGCCACGAGGGTCAGCAGCCCGTACACCAGGGCCGACATTTCGCTGCTGTTGGTGCTTCCGATGTCGCTAATCGAGTAAGCTGGACACGAGCATAGTACATCGTATACATGAAGGTGAAACGGGGATGGGCCTTTTTTTTGTTTTTTTGTTTTTTCAAATTTTTTTTCATTTAAATCGGGTCGTGTCAGTGATGTATTAATCTCCCCCCGTGAAACTCTGCTTATTATTAAATCATCTCACTTTCTCACTAACTGGGACTTTTTTTATACTTTTAGTGTGAGGTTATTTTTTAGTTTGGTCGAGTTATTGAATAATAAAATAACCGGTGTAATTACGTGGTTTTTGCAACGAAATCGTTTAGTTGCGAGTGAATATCGAATTCTCATTGAATTATAACGATCGGAAAGTTCTGCGAGTAAAAATTGAATAATTTTTTACATTGATCTCGATAATTTTGCATGATCGGCTACTTGAGATTGATAGTGGGGACCAACGCAATCGTACGTCATTTACGTATCACGACATCGCACACGCATCCTTACTTGTCATGCGTATTCGACGTTTAGGATGTTGGAAAAAACTTTCTAATTTTTAATGGTAAAAGTTGTTTTGCTCATTTTCCAAACACATTGCGATGGTAAATATTCGCACATATATCCACACCCCAAAACATGGGGGTAGACTTTTCGAGTAAACAACAGCTTTAGATCCTTCACCGCCCACCCGTGGACCCTCTCTAACAACGTGTCCTTGGAAACGTATGTGGATTGTAGAAAAGTAGAAACTACGCAGAAATATTTTAGCCTCGTAAAAGCCAAAATTCACGACTCCATGGGATACGTTTCAAGTGAACCATGTGGATAAAAATTCCTGCGCAACGTTTACAAATTTAAGTCATGTTTTGTTTGTTACAGTCAACATTATAACGCCCGTACCGAAACAGTAGTTTTTATACCAATGGATAAAACATTTGATTTTTTACAAACTGAAATTAGAATTGCTGATCATAAATAGCAAATCTTATTAGATCATACACCCTTTCGTACAAGTCAAATACAAGATTTGTCATTGGAACGTCTTTCATAGAATAAATCCACTCGAAGGGTTGCAAAAATTTCTCATTTTACTCTGTTTGTAATACAGAGTATATTATTAAAAATTAAGAAATTAATGAATACCAATCCCAATTCGTGGGCTGAGGGTTGATGCTTTCAGTTGTTTTTAGGGTGAATCCTACCCTGAGTATGAATTATTCCTCTTGAGGTTATAAAATAACTACTGTAAAAATCGCGGGTTGTCGTTAAAAAATGAAAATAACAACTTGATTTATTGGAAAACGCTTGAAAATTTTTCAGTACTATTACATAGATTCCTACAAGTGAAGGTCTGACCTTAGTCGAATTCATTTAAACAGAAATTAATGAATAGAACAGTTTAACGTCTGCGATGAAATAATGACGGTACTACATTACAGTTATACGGAATTTCCCGTTACTCGATCATGTTAAGAACAAGTACCGAAATGAAAATTGTATTCTTAGCGATTATCAGCTGCAAGAAAAAAAAAAGTATTTCATTCGATAAAGATCTATCTTTTAAAAAATTATACAGTTTTACTATTTTAAACGTGAACTACTTTGGTAATACTGCTTCAATAAAATATCCTCAGGTATTTATGACTCGTTGGTAATAACGTTCTTCTGATCTCAAATTAAATTACTATACGATCTCGTTGGGCTCACGTAAACACACCCTTATTTCTTCGGGGCTTGTAAAGGCATGTCTGAAATTGAAAGTATAAAACTTTCTGACGAAAGTTTTGGGTCCACCAAGTGTTACCACATGCCCACTCAACAGATGACCCTTATTTTTCGTAAACATAATAAACAATCTGGATCAAGCATTTTGGTTGCTCGTTTAAAATTTAGTGAATGTATTTTGACAATTAAGTTTGTTGGACAATTTTTCTAAAAAGAATAAGTTGATAGTTTCTGATACCATCTTTGATTGCAGATATAATGTTACTCGTATTAATAAATTATTAATATTTCGAAAAAAACGTGCGTGTAAAAACTGTTTGTAATTCATGAATATTTTTATACGTATGATGTTTACGGCAAAGACACAATTTGACATTTGCGAAGGAGTTGTTCAAAGAGCCTAAATAATAAAAAAAAAAAGATTAGCTACAGAAAATAACATTAATTCACGTTAGGAGAGCGAATCGCCAGGGGAAAAAGTTAAGTTACATCCCCGAAGTATCATGTGTATATTATAATACATGAAGCTCGTGTTTTTTTTTCAATTCGTTTATTTTTGCGCGTCTCCGATAATCAGAAAGCAATAGAAAAATAAGCCAAGATCGGTGCACAGCACCCGTCGAATGGAAAATCACACGGAAAACTTGAGCAGTATTTTGTTCACCGGATATTTTTATTTCCTCGACGAGCCGAAGCGTCTTGAAAAATGTACGTACGAACACGCGAGCAATGCAAGCACGATTCGCGATAGCTTGTGATATTATACATGTAGGTATGTAATGATGATGTGTGTGTGTAACATACCCTCAACTATTTCAGCTTCCTTAACGTTGTTTTCGAGCTTATCGGCAAGATACGCTCCCGAGAGCCAACAGATTATCAAAAACGCACAGCCAAAGTAGCGCGTCAAATGCATGTATGGGCCACGGCTCGTGCGTGGGCCCCTCGAATCTTGCCGAGTATAAATATTATTACCGATACTTTAAACGAAAAAAAAAAAAAAACACACACACACAGGGCACTCGTCCTGCCGATCCGTCAACCCTTGATGGAAAAATCCTTCGTCTTGGCTTGAACGGCGATTTCTCTCCGTCGTCAATTCACATCGATGGTAAACTTAACACTGCGTCTCATTTTTTCCACGCACAACCTAATATAGGCACGCGCACGGCAGCCGCGCCTGTGCACCGAGTCATAAAATATATTTCGCACCCCACGAAAAGGGTTCCCTCGTATACGACTGTTATGTACCCTTCCCTTCCCGGAAACGTCGTCGCTCGTCTTGTACAGCGCCGCTTTGCGCGCACGAACAACCTTGTCACTCGTCACTCATGTCTCACAGCTCGGCTGGCCGGGAAAACAGACGCTCGGCGATACCGATCGGAAAAGGACGATATCGACCGGTGCACCCGAGATCGGGAGAGGGTGGCTCCGAGACCAACAGATAGAGAAAGGGAAGGGAAAAAAAAAAAAAAAGAAAGAGAGAGTGCATGTGCGTCCGAGCGAATTATCGGGGAGTAACTGTGGGCTGGGAGCCCGAGGAGCCGCGCTATATAGGAGAAAGAGAGAGCGCGCGCTTGCCCACCACTCTCTGCTCTCCGATATCATGTATACTTCGGCCCCTGCACGCGGACTTACAGCCTCCGTCTCTTCTCTTCCTTCCTTCTCTCTCTCTCTCTCTCTCTCTCTCTCTCTCTCTCTCTCTCTCTCCTCACCGTTCGCTTTCGTTGGTACATGGATCGTTTCACGGAAAATTTCTTGTATCAGCTGCTTACGCATACAGAGTCCAAACTAGCACTGCAGTTTTCGAAAAAAAAATGTTACTCGGCTGAAGAAACGCAAATGAAATTGTGATTCTAAAACTTCAAATAAGAATTTGGCGTCACCGTCGAGTTTACAATATCTATACATTGCACCGGCTAGTTTTTATTTTACAGAGGCAAACAGCGTTTACTTGTCAATGTGCCACTCTGTGCTACCACTGGTAAATTTAAGGGTGTAGAGTTTAAACAAAACAAAAAATTACGACTTATTCGATGTCTCTGAAATACGGAATGGTGCAACATCGGGTGTACGGTGTTTTTGATTGATGTGTGAAAAAAACGAAAAAAAGTTTTCATGAAATGATCCATGTATGTATGGATACGAAGACGTGCGACATAATACGTGCACGTTTTTCAGTCATGCCTTGGCGCCACGGAACGCGCGCCGCCTTGCACAAGAGAAGAGACTGCTCACGCACACGCCAGGTTGACATTTAATGTGAAAAAAAAAAAAAAAAAAAAAAAGGGAGAAACCGCGATCTTCCGGCCAACATCAATAATGTAATGTAATACCATACGGGAGGCTTGAGGACACACGCTGATATGCGTATGACGAGTAGAAAAGCCGCAATGGCTTATCTTTCGAAACGATGAGATTTCCATTTACGATTGACCTTTTAGATATTGATAACAACTTCGGTGGACCTATTGGGCGCATCAACGCTTTTTTTTCATACACGTCTGTTGGGTACACGTACAAGTTTTGCTGATCTTTGATTTTTCAAATAGTTTTGGGGGTTTGAAAAAACATTATGTGCAGAAACAGTGATTATAATGATAGTAATAAGAAATAAATATAAACAATATATTTTACCTCGGCTTAAATATATCTCAGAGTCACAAATTATTCCTCATATGTATGAATTATGTTGGCCTTGATATCTTTTTCTTTTTTTTATTCTTCGCACGATTTTCATCTAGTATCAGGTACGTAAGAATTAGATATGTTCCGTAAATGAGAAAATAAAAAGAAAACATAACAATCAAAGTGAAAAATAGGGGGGTGAAAAAAAAAAAACGAGAAAATCGCTGTTTACTGAAGAATGTGAAAAACAAGAGGATTCCCGTACGAGAGCACTGATTCATAAAGTCAAAAACATCAGAGAAGAATGAAAGAAAAGGAAAAAAAAAAAAAAAAAAAAAAAGAGATAAGAAGTACGAGAGCGTCTCTGGAATGCCGGCAGTTGCACACGTGAGTCAGGGGAAAGCTTGCTCGCGAATATCAGCCACGGTCTGTGCAATGTGCTGCAATGCGAGCGCCACCGAATCCAGATATATGTACTTACTTGAGTACTTTGATGGTGACGTTGGAGAACGGACTTTGTAACGTGCGCGCATCTGATCAATCAAGAGATTTTCACCAGTAGGTGTGTAATTTGTCCATTGAAAATATGTTTTGTTTTTTTTTTAATTGACATGCTTTTTAGATTTAAAAATCAAATTTAATTTGTACAATTGAAAACAAACGAAAAATAAATAAATAAGAGGACATAGAAAAGTCTAAGAAAAATCAATACATCCCATACATAGGCTCATTGTTGAATTCGAAGACAATTTGGAAACTTTTAACGAAAGGAAAAAGTTGATGCGGGCACCAGACGTTGACCCGCGAATAAAGAATTTTATCACGTATAAATCATACGACGACGACGACGTCGCTCGAACGCGACACCTAAACGCGAATTTCGGGATGCGTGAGCTTTTTTAAGAGCCATCGTAATTTTTGCTTTATTTTTCTCTTAAACTCTTTGTAAGCTATATAATGAGTATACACTGCACTCACTGGTATCTCCTGCTGTGGTCTCGTGTTTCTCTTTTTCGAAGACATCCGAGCTGGCGCCAGGCAATATAACACGTTATACATCAGCCGCAAAAAGAAGCCGTACATAAAATGTGCTGTCATTGAGTACATTAATACTGACGGATAAATGAAGCAATCATAGCGAAAGATAAGTAAATTATTTTTCTCTTAACTGCCAGGTTTTTATGTTTGCTTGTTTGTTTATTATTATTATTATTTTTTATTTTTATTTTTTTTTTTTCTAAATCATACAACAATTCGAAAATCGGTGCATACTTTAATTGTATTATTAAGTATGAGATAAAATATAGTACATTCGGGCGATGGAACAAATTTTGAGCATACAATTTTAGGACAGTTTTTTGGTGGATAATCTGCTGTAATGTATGTCCGGAATCAGTAAATGTATATAGGTGTCTCGATAGTTTTAAAAAGCTGTTTTTATGTATTCGAAAAAAATGTGGGTTTTAAAAATAAATAAACTTGTCACTTATTTTGTTGGAAAAAAAAAATTATTTTGAAGCCTTAAAAGTCGAGAAATTATTATTTTAAAAAATTTATCTTATAGATTTTATTTTGAAAATTGATTATTTACGTACTTTAAAGTTAAGGAAGGAGATACCAGTGAGTAT